GGCATTTCTAAACTTCTGGTTTTGTTACAACACTGTCCCTTTGCACAATTCTGCACTTTAGCTCTGTGCTCCTCGGGAGGGTGGGGCGGTAGGATTTATCCCTGGCTTACGTTGCATGGAGCTCGAAGGAGCTACTGGGGCTTGGGTGTTGAACCTTCTACTACTTAGTGTAGGAATCCTAATTAAAGTTTCTCCGGGACATCTACTGTGTTTCCCCCCAAATAAGATCTTGTCTTATTTCCCCCCAAATAAGATCTTGTCTTATAAAAAAAGGCACCAGGTCTTATTTTTGAAGGATGTCCTCCACTGACTAACCTCACTTGCGTGCATTGCCCCCTGGCCTCCTTTTCGCTGTCAGAGGCCTTCAGGAACTTCTCCTCCTGTGGCCGGCAAGGCTTTCCTGAAGGCCTTTGCAGTTGATAATAGAGCTCTGGATCGATCCAGAGCTTTGTTCTCAGCTCCAGAGGCCTTCAAGAAAGCCTTGCCAGCCTCGCCGGCTGCAGAAGAAATGGGCGGGCGAGGCAGGTTTCGGGGTGTGTGAGGCCTGGCTACAACTGTCCAAAGGTAAGTAGTAGGGCAGCTCCACCCACTCTTCCCCACCCTAGCTTAATTTTTACCTGTCTACTCTGGAGTGGGTGGGATCTTAATTAGGACTTATTTTGGGGGTAGGTCTTATATTGGGCACACATGTAAAAATCAAGCTAAGACTTACTTTCAGGGTAGGTCATATTTTCAGGGAAACAGGGTAGTGAGAAGAAGAGGGCACAATCTCTCTGGGTCTCTGGTTTCATTCATGTCACGCTTGACGAATCAGGAACATACCTTCAACTTCAGATAAGCTGATTGTGTACGGAGGTTCTCTGTCCTCCAGGTCATTGGTTGTCCCAAAGGTGCTTTTTTCAGGAGGTAACTGGACTTCCTTGGTTTTTCCTTGAAGGCGTTTCACTTCTCATGCCAGAAGCTTCTTCAGTTCTGTGCGCAAAACGTAGCCGCCAAACTGGTAGTAACACCAGTTGAATCCCACCCTTGGTTGCTTCCGACCCACATTAAAGCATAAAAAGGTTTTTTTTTTTAACTATATTGATTGTAGGAGAATTAGGGAGCCGTTTCTCTCCTGAACCCAATTTTAAGTTGCCCTGTTTAGCACCTGAAATCACGGATTGGGTGCAGGGTGAATTATTTTGACCAGGATTGAAATTATTTGAAAACAAAACAAAACAAAACACGAACAGCTGTGAGTTTCAAACCCAGCAAATATTTCACCGAGCTGAACAAAACTGTGACTTTGATTTGATCTCATTCTATCATCTGGCCCCGTCTGAAAAACTACGCAATTCTGCTTTGATTTAAACTCGCATTGTTACGTTCTAAAATAAACTCTTCGGAGAAAAAGTTTCTATTCTAGGAAGCAAATGTTACCATCGGCATTAAAGAGGTTTACTCCATGCAGATCTAGCCAACCTTTCAAAGCGATGTACTGCATAAAAGAATTGGTTCCATTTCTTGTGCTCGTCACTTCCGTGTCTTCAATTTAATGTTGCAATGAGAAGCATCTGACCTGTAAAAATGAAAACCAGATGAGCAATAAGCTAAAAACACATAATGGGTTTTTCAGACAATACACAGTATGCTGGCCTTCTTGCCGTAGCTTTTAAGAAATCTGATAAAAGTGCTGTTGATCTATTCTGTTGTGGTTTTTCCTCCCCTTACTTTCACTTAGAGGCATCCGGAGTTGTCCAAAAATGAAAGGAAATTCTGTTTTTACATCAACTGTCTATCCTTGTTTAATGTTGTTGCGTTCGCAGCGCAGAACAGAAAATAACAGAATAGAATAACAGAGTTGGAAGGGACCTTGGAGGTCTTCTAGTCCAACCCCCTGCTTAGGCGGGAAATCCTACAAAAGGATTAGGGCTTTGATTGAAACGTGATGGATGCCATCTTGACTGTTGTCACACCCGCTGGGGCTTTTTGCGATGCCTGGTAGAAACAGTTGACAAGCCAAGTGTCTGTTTGTATGCACTGTGTTTTGGACAAGTGGACCTTGTTCCTTGAGGGCTCCTTGGTGCTCTCAGATTTGCTTCTTTCCTTTGCAGACGTTTCATTACCAAACTAGGTAACGTCATCAGTGCTAAGCACCAACACCAATTGGTCAGCAGCTTGTATCGCTATTCACCATAGTTGGCTAGATTGTTCAATCAGCTTTTCTTCAGCTGATTTGAATATACTTTAGATGCGGCTGTGGTTTTTATTATACTGTACTTATTTCAAGGCACGACTGTTTGTTGACGATCTGGATGGGCCAACCTGATTTTAGTGGAAAAAGCTTACCTAAATAAGGAAAACAATTACTTTTACTTGTTACTAAACAAAGACCACTAATGTTAAATCAACTTTATTAAAAGAACTCATAGTGTGGGATTGTGCTTCTCTTAGATTGCAGTCAAATGCTCTTGTAACTAACAAAACTGTTGAATGGCCTACATATTTACACACACACACACACACACACACACACACACACACACAAAACACTGTATAAAATAATTATCCTTGTCAATCTCTCCTAGTTTATTACTAATCATGAGAAATTTCAGGTATTTTTTTTCTTAAAGTAGATAGTAGCAAAGAAGTGGAGAAAACTTTCAGGACTGATGTCTGAGTTTGGTGGTTTTCTTGAAGACATTTCATTACCCAAACTAGGTAACATCATCAATGCTCGATACTGATGAGGTTACCTAGATGGGTAATGAAATGTCTGCATAAAGACAACCAAGCTCAGAGAGCACTGGGAATGCCACAGTTCTCCTTCTTCTTCTCTTTCCCCCTCTCCTTCTCCTTCATTCCACAAACCCCACTCCTTCCTAGTACTGATGATGTTACCTAGTTGGGTAATGAAATGTCTGCAAAAAAACAATGAAGCTCAGAGAGCATCAAGGACCCTACATCCCCCGCCCCTCCTCCTCCTCCTCCTGTTTCTTCTTCTTCTTCTTCTTCTTCTTCTTCTTCTTCTTCTTCTTCTT